TGAGGCATATCTCCTGTGCTGAGGGTACCAGACAGACTTCATCCCTTTGCTTGGGGCAACTTGAAACAGCAAAATCATCAACCAGACACACAAAAAAACTTGTGCAAACAGCAGCACTGAACAAACTGTAACAATGATGTTGGCTTATCACAGGAGCTAAGAAGAAAACAGAGCCTCATTGTGTTCTACCTCAGCTAAGAAGGCGCACATCGGGTGACTCTGATTTTCTAGTACTCCGTGGATGTCCTCAAATGACCCCAAAATCATGGTGAGTGCTGATTTGGGGTTACAAGTAAAATTCAGCAAATAGACAAGTTGCAAATATAGGACCTTTGAATAATGAGGGCCTTGGGTGTCTAGCATAGTGTTTCTAAGGTCAGCTTCACACCGTGGCATGTGTCAGTACTTCATTCCTTATGGCCGGGGGACATGCCCTTGAATGAAGATGTGTGTTCTGTGATCCACTCATCAGCTAGTGGATATCTGGGGTTGTGTTAGTGAGCAGTGCTGCTGTGCACACTCACGTCCAGTCTTCACATGGACATACATTATCTACACAGCGTGCATTCTGTTGGTGGGTTTATATCTATCCTTGCAAAGAATACTGGCCTGTCATTTTTAAATTTTTCACCCTCGGTCATGGGGCTTGAACTCTGGGCCTGGGCGCTGTCCCTGTGCTCTTCAGCTCAAGGTGAGTGTTCTACCGCTTAAGCCACAGCGCCATTTCTGGTTTTCTGGTGGTTAATTGGAGATAAGAGTTTCATGGACTTTCCTGCCTGGCCTGGCTTTGAACCATGATCCTCAGATCTCAGCCTCCTGAGTAGCTAGGTAAATTACTTAAATTTTAAAGTCACAAATACCTTTTAATTTTCACAATGATAGTCATCATTATCTTAATCTACATTGCTTATGAACTCTATGACCTTTAACAATAAAACTATTTTTTTTTTTTTGGTCGGTTGTGGGGCATGAACTCTGGGCCTGGGCGCTGTCCCTCAGCTCTTCAGCTCAAGGCTAGCGCTCTACCACTTGAGCCACAGCCCCACTTCCGGCTTTTTGCTTATGTGGTGCTGAGGAATCGAACCCAGGGCCTCAGGCATGCAAGGCAAGCGCTCTACCACTGAGCCACCTTCCCAGCCCCAATAAAACTATTTTTTAAAAAATCGGGTGATACATAAATTTCTTTCCTTTCGCTGAGGATCATCAGCTGTTCCCTCTTGCTGTCTCAACCCCTCCCTTCCATCACTGCCTTTGAGTTGCTTAGTTCACTTCACCCATGTCCAGGCAGCTGATGGGCCCCTCTGCTGTATTTTTTCGCCCGTGTTCTCCTGATTCAGTGCCCTCCTCCCAGCTTTCCTCAGATGTGCACGTGTATACACCATATATGAGGGTCAAGAATGAGTCATCTAAAAACAATAGGACAAATTAAGAAGTCCTTTGTGTCCTTATCTTTGGGGCTCTTTTCAGTATACTTGTCTGTCATTTCACTGTCTTGTTCTTGTGTCGTTTGGGAGAAGAGATGACTGTGAGTGGCAGATTAAGTTTTCTACATGTAGCATGGATTTATTTCAGAATGTATAAGGAATGCTGACTTTTTCCCCTGTGCTAGCAGTACAGTTTTCATTAAAGTCGACGTCACTGTGGAACGCTACTCTGGACACAGTGCGTGAAGCAGGTGACAACACCAGCATGGCCACTGGCCTTCGGAGACCAGACACTGTGGACAGGCTGTGGACTGGGGGTGGCCCTGGAAACCCGACTAACAGGAGACAGATAAGTGTGTCTCAGTGTCCATAGGTGTACGAGTGGCCTAACTCTCCTCATGGACACAGATTCTGGCCAGAACTCCATGAGGAGGGTGAGAAGACCTGGAGGTCCCCAGTGACCTCGGCAAGGGGCCGAGGAGGCGTCTGTGCGCCTAGCCAAGGACTCAAGAAGACGTAACATACAAACGTTTAGGAGGCAAGTGCTGCCCTTGCATCTTACAGAAGGGACCGTGGAGCCCTAGAAGGAAACATATGTATAATAGAGACAGGGCGCAGGTGTCAGCCTGCAAGCTAACAGAGGCCACGTCAGCTGAGCTGCAGGGGAGACTGATGCGTTCTGCCTTCCACACACAGGACCCTGTCTTCCTTTAGCTTCAGTAGCTTCACGGTGACAGACTGTGCCTCCCCGAGGCCACCATCTGCTGGGACGTCAAGCCCCAACTCTACAGCTTCCTAGGCCAGGGGTGCACAGGCTGTCTGCTTAGAGCATTCGCTTCTTCACTTTGCAGAGCTCTGCTCTGGAGCCGCTGCTGCACAGCCAGGAGCAAGGCCTACGGTCCTCAGAGTCCGGTGGAGACAGCCAGCAAGCTGCTTGAGAGGCACCGATAAATAACATGCAGAGCAGAACTGAGGATGCAGAATGGGGCAGAGGGAACTGTGAGCTAATTAGAGAAGACGGAGGCCAGACTCCCTGGGAAGGTGGTGAGTCCACAGTGATATGACAGGCAGTTCCATCAGGGCCGGAGCCAGCCGATGGCTACCGCAGTGGGCAGCGGTCAGAGAACAGAGGACAGGGACACTGCGGGATGTGCGGAGCTGCAGAGACCGCAGGAGTGCTGAGCCCTCAGCCACCCAGCCGCTGGGAAGGACCGGCTGTGCGGGCTTCTCAGCACCACCAGCACACACACAAGCTGGGCCAGCATGCAGCTGCAGAGCAGAGAACCTGCCTGACGGGAGGTCAGGAGTCTCCTGCTGCTTGCCATCGCCACAAGAAGAACAGACGCTCACCACAGGGCACAGACTGGAAGCTGGCACACTGCTCAGCACTTCTCCTCACAGTAACTTGGTGGGTAGTAAGTAGCCTGGCACGTGCATTTTGTAAACAAGGGCACTGAAGAGGGCACAGAGGGCAAGGGCTACATATGCAACCCCGGCAGCCAGCTCCCCCCTCGGTTCTCTGGTCCTCTCACTTACAACACTACTACAGTTTCTCTGGCCTCTGAGCAGATTCCCTACAAAGCCCCTCCAAGACCCACCCGAAGAAGAGGAAACACACTACAACGTGTTGTAGTGATTCTGCAAGAGTCCCCACTGGTTTCTCGGCCCTGAGAAACTGTGCGCACAGTAGGTTCTCCCCGGAAGCCGCGCCTTTCCAAGTCAGCTGCACTGTGCGTGCAGGTCTGCCACAAGAAGGAGGAATCATCATTACCAAATCAATGACAAAAACGTCATTTCTGAATTTCAAGCCTCACTATAGCTCAATCTTCATCTTATTTTATATTATTTTTGTTTAAAATAACAAGGTTCTCCTAACTTTTGAGACAAGCACTTCTGAGACGTGAGCAGCATGAGTCCTACCACAAGCCCCACACCAGCTCCAGCCACTCCAGCCTCCGGCCTAAGTTAGCCATTCACTTTCACATGAAATTATAGCGCGAAGCCTCTAGCAGAACTAGCCCTTCACAGCTAAACATTTACTAAAGACATAATCTAAAACTCACATCCCTGCCCCCATCTTAAGAGATGTGGAAAATATAGACTAGAGACCACAAGTTTTATTCTTAGGTTCCTGATGTGTGATGGTCTTCTTCATTACTGAATTCACTTGCTCCTGGTTAAAATACTAGAAGTATCAGTACTTTTTGTTGTTGTTGTTGGTCGTGGGGCTTGAACTCAGGGCCTGGGCGCTATTGCTGAACTCTTTCAATCAAGGCTAGCGCTCTATCGCTTTGAGCAACAGGGCCACTTCCTCAGTACTGTTTACTCCATATTTAAAAGGCAGAAGTCAACACGATTTAAGGTAGAAATGCAGTTTAACTAATCTTGAACTTAATAAAAAATGTAAGCCAGGTGCTGGTGGCTCACGCCTGTAACCTAGCTACTCAGAAGGCTGAGATCGGAGGGTCGCAGTTTAGAGCCAGCCCAGGCAGGAAAATCCATGAAACTCTTATCTCCAATAAATCACCAGAAAACCAGAAGTGGTGCTGTGGGCTCAAGTGATAGAGCGCTAGCTTTGAGCTGAAGAACTGAGGGACAGTGCTCAGGTCCAGAGTTCAAGCCCCACAACTGACAAAAATAAATAAATAAGTAAATAAATAAATAAAATATGTTTACCAAAATATTAATTTAAAAAATCTACCTAGGCCAGGCTCTGGTGGCTCATGCCTGTAATCCTAGCTACTCAGTTGGTTGAGACCTGAGGATCGTGATTCAGATACAGAACATTAGGAAAGTCCATGAGACTCTTATCTCCAATTAATCAGCAAAAAGCCAGAAGTAGAGCTATGGTTCAAGTGGTAGACTGCTATCATTGAACAAAAAAAGCATAAGGGTAGTGCCCAGGCCCGAGTTTAAGCCCAAGGACTAGCACCAAAAAACAAAAACAAAGACAAAAACAAATGTAGTCAGCCTCTGGTGCCTAATGCCTATGATCCTAGCCATTCAGGAAGCTGAGATCTAAGGATCCTGGTTTGAATCCAGCCTGGGCAGAAAAGTCCATGAAACTTTTTTTTTTTTGGTCGGTCGTGGGGCTTGAACTCTGGGCTTGGGCGCTGTCCCTCAGCTCTTCAGCTCAAGGCAAGCGCTCTACCACTTGAGCTACAGCGCCACTTCCGGTTTTCTGGTGGTTTATTGGAGATAAGAGTCTCACAGTCTCTCCTGCCCGGGCTGGCTTTGAACCGCAATCCTCAGATCTCAGCCTCCTGAGTAGCTAGGATTACAGGCGTGAGCCACCAGCGCCTGGCTGGTCCATGAAACTCTTATCTCCAGTTAACCATCAAAAACCTGGATATAGAGGTATGGCTCAAGTGGTAGAGCACCAGCCTTAAGAGAAAAATCTAAGGGACATTGTTCAAGCCCTAGCATCAGCATGCATACACGAATGTGTGTGTATACACACACAGATCTACTATAGGCCAAAAATCAAAAGCTTGTCCCATAATGCCACACAAAATTAGAAACTGTATTTTTTTTCTTAAATGACTGTTAAACATGCAGGGTAGCTCAGCTCAGTACCTCGTTTCTGGATGAAGACTCTGAGCAGGGGATTCGCACTCGAGACCGCTTTGCAGAAATTGTCATCGTTGTTGATAGGCAGCAGGTCCCCATGCACATCTGCGTAGCCGATCGTCACATCAGTGTTGGAGATGTGATGGGTGTGCACAACCAGCTGGTAGAAATCTTCAAACTTCCCAGGCTTATGACGGTCTAAGGAGAACCTTCGGAATTCAGCCCCAAACTACAAAGCAAGACACGAGGACACGTATAAAATCAGAAGGAGTCAGCCAGGTAAAAGTGCAGTTTGTTCACGGAATAAACCAATTGTTACCAAGTCTCTATGAGGCGCTGGAGACAGAGGTCTCAGTATGTTGTGCTCTTATAACTGATAGGGAGCAAACAATAAATTATTAGGCAGGAAGCGGGGCATCGAGAAATGGACAGGTCCTGATCAAGGAGCAGACTCCTTGACTCCACTGGCCAGGGATGGCTCTTTGTCCACAGGGACAAGGCCCTAAGTGAAGGCCGAGCAGCTCTGTGGGCTCAGCTTGTTGGAAAAGCAGTGCCACGGCCTATTATAAATCCAAATGTGCTACAATGGTATGACTGATGGGTCATACCAGTAAAACTAGAGGAGGCTGAGATCTGAGGCTCCTTATTTGAAGCCAGCCTAGGCTGGAAAGTCTATGAGACTCCTATTTCTAATTAACGAAAAAGACAGAAGTGGAGCTGTGGCTCAAGAGTTAGATTGCAACCCGAGTGAAAACGTTAAAAGATCCTGACCAAGCCCTTAGCTCAAGCCCCAGAAACAGCACGCACACATATTCTCTCTCTCTCTCTCTCTCTCTCTCTCCAGATGTGGAAGAAATGGGGTCCATGTGGACAACAGGAGTCTTTAATTCCTCAGTCCACTGAGGAAGGTCCGAATAGCCTTGTAGCAGGGCTCAGAAAACTCAAATAGGACAGAAAGTATCCTTCTGTATGTTTTAATAAGGGCAAATAAGAAACACCCTGAATTGATTTTTTTTTTTGTCAGTCTTGGGGCTTGAACTCAGAGCCCGGGCGCTGTCCCTGAGTTCTTTTGCTCAAGGCTAGAGCTCTACCACTTTGAGTCACAACACTACTTTATAATTTTTTTTTTAACAGGATCTAATGTTCATACTTCAAAAGGATCAGAAGTGGAAGGAAATCTGGAAACATGGAGGACCAAGATATAAAGCCTGCTTCCCACATCAAAGGAGAAAATATGGTGGATTTTGGTACTGGCAAAAAGAGCCAGTCGAGCTGGAAGGTGGCTCAGTGGTACAGTGCTTGCCTTGCATGCATGAGGCCCTGGGTTTGATTCCTCAGCACCACATAAGCAGAAAAAGCCAGAAGTGGTGCTGAGGCTCAAGTGGTAGAGCGCTAGCCTTGAGCTGAAGAGCAGAGGGACAGCGCCCAGGCCCACAGTTCAAGACCCACGACCGACAAAAAAAAAAGGAAAAAAAGAGCCAGTCTCTCAAACGCTCTTTTCTGGATTGTAACTCAATGGTCTCAACTGAGAAATGCCCAGGGGCAAATCTCTTTTCTTGCATACCCTGGTCCCAACTCAACTTTTCAGAGCTTAACAGCCACCGAGAGGACCTTAGAACAGCTCCCATGGGTCATCTCTTGAAATACGCAGGCCCTGAAAGTCTTGGCTCCAGACAGTCTTCAGTAACTGAAAACTAATTAAACGGGTTCCAAAGAATTAGGTGTCAAATATTACATAAAACTAGTCATTATATAACAGACAAAACCATCTCTAACTACTGGGAGCTGCATCAAATCACCCGCAGGGCTTGCAGAGTTTGGGGTGTGGCTCCAGACTTTCTGTTCTTAGTAAGTCGCCCAGAAGCTGATGTTAGTGGCCAGAGACCACACAGAAAGCCACTGGGTTAAAGCCACCAGCTGCTGAGGATCACATGTGAAGGCTGCGGCACGACTAAGCAGCTCCCGCCACCGCCACCTCCTTCTCCTCGGCTGCCTCTCGCCCGTCTGTACAGGATCCCGCAGGCACCCAGCGATGGGACAACTCACAACGCTAGTTTGGGGAGAACTACCTTCAATGGCTAATTAATAAGGGGTGGGGTGGGGTCGAGGGGAGAGGGATGGATGCGTGAGGAGGAAAGGGGGAAGAATGCAGCCAAGAATTCAATATATGGGCTGGGAAGGTGGCTCAGTGGTAGAGCGCTTGCCTTGCATGCATGAGGCCCTGGGTTCGATTCCTCAGCACCACATAAGCAAAAAGAAAAAAACCGGAAGTGGTGCTGTGGCTCAAGTGGTAGAGCGCTAGCCTTGAGCTGAAGAGCTGAGGGACAGCGCCCAGGCCCAGAGTTCAGGCCCCATGACCGGACCCCCCCCCCAGAAAAAAAGAATTCAATGTATGCCCTACAAAACTGAGAAAAGTGAGGGGAGGCGTGGGCTAGGAGGGAAGTGTGGAGAGCTGAAGGCGTGACATTGGTCAAGATGCTCGGTTACACAGCAACTCCTTCGTGCAACTACTTAAAGCCACTATAATAAAACAAAGGCAGTCTACCTACTCAGTAGGGGAAGAAGGAGTTGCAGAAGAAGAACTACTCATAGCTCTGAACGTGTTACACCTTGGAAGTATCAGAAGGAAGAGCCTACCTTTGGTCTGCTTACTAGAGGTGCAAAGCAAACCCTCAGAACTGCAGCACCCACCACCCACAGACCAGCGCGTCACCTCTCCATACTGGATACTCAAATACTGAATATGGACAGACCTGGTCTTCAGGCAAGGGTATAGACCGTGCAGGTCCTTCAGACAAAGGGACCGCTCAGCTTCCAGATACAAGGGAATAAAGCCTACAATGTAGTCTTAGGTCGTTTCTTTCAGCTATCCAATCAAATCACAAAACATTTCTTTCATGAATGGGCAACTGCCATCTTTCCCATTTCTTACTTCCAACTTCTGTTTTTGTTTTTTTTTGGTCGGTTGTGGGGCTTGAACTCTGGGCCTGGGTGCTGTCCCTCAGCTCTTCAGCTCAAGAATAGCGCTCTACCACTTGAGCTACAGAACCACTTCCATTACCACCAACTTCTGCATCAGCACACACCCTTGTTTTTGCAAAGAATAAAAATGAATGAAACCATGTGTAGTGAAATCTGAAGTGCAGCTCTGACTCCGATGTGTATAGCTCCTACTGGATGTCCCCGGAAGGAAGCATACTCACTAAAGGGCACACCTCACACACCCAGTTCTAGCACATTTCTACCTCAGCTGCACTTGGCAGCCACCCACAATGCACCACAACTTACTTCTCAGTATTTTAACTGTTTTCCCTCAAAAATGTATCTTTACAGGGTAAATCTTCCTCATTTGTCCTTTCCTGAGACAAAACAAGTTTGCTTTGTAGCTGTGCATGCAGTAGGTAGGCCTCACTGCCCAGCTTCATGATGAACTTTCTTCATATCTAATGAGCTCCACAGTTTTCACAAAAAGTATGAAATGTGATATGATAAATGCATTTTATTGGGCTGGAGGACTGGCTCAGCTGTAGAGCACCTATCTAGCCAACAGAAGCCTTAAGCTCAATCAATTTGCAGTTCCTCAAAGCAGCAACAAGTTTATTGTAAACAATTGTATTTTACTTCCCACATAGCATCATTTTAAACAAGGGGCTTCCAAATGAAGGAACCAGTAAGCACAACTCACTGATACACAATTCTGGGCAAAGCCCTTTTTGCTTACTTCAGTGAAATTTGAAAAGTACTTGGCTTTAATGATCAGGCAATCAATCTTGCAAGTCAAGTGATTTCCAATTATTTTTCTTCAACAAAATTAAGTTGTTTTACTTAAACTGCCATTGAATAGATTGTCTAACTGATTTTGGTGACAGACAACTCCATAAGCATTTACTTTTGCCCACCTGCTCACCAGGACCTGCACATACAGAAACCCTTCATCTGCCCTCACAGATTACTCTGTGAGCATGTGGTTTGTTTATTTAAGCAAAGTCTACACTGGCGTTGACATCCACACAATGAAAAGTAGCTGAAGAACCGATGCTGCTCTAGTCATTTAGCAATAAAGACTTTCTGTGGAATAAACGATTTTTAAAATGTAATTATAAATTTTGCACCTGTTCTTTTATCATGATTTGATTAAAAAACAATCCACTTAGACTTTTTAGTGTAATTTCTAATTTACCATCCTAGCCATTTTTAAGTAAATAGTTGAGGAGTGTTAATTACAGTGTATCCAGGCCGGCCCTCCCCATGGTCTCTGCGTTTTTTAAGAAAGTCTCTTGGTATTTCCCAGGCCCATCTTGAATTCTTGAACATAAGTGATTTTCTTGCCTCAGCCTCTCGAGTGCTAGGATCGTAGCTGCATATTAATGTACTTAGTCTTTAGAATTAATTTCACCCAGCAAACTAAAACTTTATGCCATTAGACAATTGTTTGGGAAATAATTTTAATAAGTACAACCATATGAAAATCTCTTCAACATCCAACTTCTATAAGCATTTTATTGCAGAGAAAATGATAGGTATCAAATATAAATTGTTAGAACAAAATAACAGAGCAAAAGTCTTACAAGAATAACGGCACAGAAAACTCAGTAAAAAGAAAACTCTAAATTTCAATGTCTGGTGGTGGTGTCAAATCACAAATTAGAATGCTAGTTGCCAGAGATTGGCAAAAGAATGGGGTCCATTGTTAGTGGGGGCAGTCTCAGTTTTGCTAGTCATAAAAAGCTCTGAAGATGGGTGGTGGTTGAACACTAATATGGATATAGTTAGCACTACTGACTTATACACTTAAAATGGTTAATATGTTAATTTTATGTGGTATGTAAAAACAAAAAATGAAAAAAGAAAATTACTGGGAAATGAGATGTTTAAGGAGACCCTGAAGAGTTGTTATACATCCCTGTAGACCTAGACAGTCACAGACTTGTGGGCTTTGGTGCACACATGGGTCCAGGAGGTCTTCATCTTTCCAGGTGGATTGTGGCAAGAGCTCACACCTGTAATCTTAGCTACTCAGGAGGCTGAGATCTGAGGACCATGGTTTGAAGCCAGTCCGAGCAGAAAAGTCTGAGACTCTTATCTCCAATAAACTACTCAGAAAAAGTTGGAAGTGGCACTATGGCTCAAGTGGTAGAGTGCTAGTCTTGTCTTGTCTTTTCTTCTTTCCTTTTCTTTTTTTAGTCAGTTGTGGGGCCTGAACTCTGGGCCTGGGCGCTGTCCCTCAGC